CCCCGTTGTCTCGGCGGCACACTGTGGTGTCTGGGCCTGGTGTATCAGTGGCACATGGTGGTGTCTAGGCCCGAGATAACTGGCTGATTCATCAAAGCCTGTTGAACTTTTAACTTAATTCCTTTATTTTCTGGTTTAAATTAAGAATGCCTTTAATGTTAACTATTACCTTATTTCCCTATTTTTCTACTTATTCTATGAAGGTAATGCTTAACTTTTTATCTCTGTTTTTCTTACTACTTTGTACCTAAGTTTTTTGCATCTAGGTAGCTTTGTACCGAAGATAGCGCTGTGTGTGTTGACATTAGACACTTTCATTGTATTCCCGTACTTCTGTACTTGAGTACATGTGACAATAAAGTCTAAATTTAAATTTAGTTAATTATCTAATACTCTCTCGAGTGTGTGAATTGAACTAACCTCCCAGGGAATACATTCCAAACGCTTTTTGTAAACTTCTATTAAATCCCCTCTTAGCCTTCTCCTCTACAAGGAAAATAGTCCAAACCTCTGCAATATATCCTTATAACTTAAGTTCTTCATTTTTGGAACCATTCATGTAAACATCTTTTGCATTCTCTCCAGTGCATCCACAATCTTCCTAAAGTGTGGTGTCCAGATCTATACACATTGCTGCAGCTGAAGTATTATTAGTATCTTTCCTGGGGTTTGACATAACCATTTCACTCTTGCACTTTTGCCCTATTGCTGAAGCACAAAATAGACCCTGCCGCCTTTAGTGACGTATGGATATAAAGATCTTGGTCTATCTGCTCCAGTATACCCTTTAGACCTTTAAAGTATTCTTTCTTTTCTACTGTCTCTCCATGTTCTTTGAACAAAAATATTTCAAGTTACACTTCTCTGCATTGAACTGTGGGTCCAGAGTTACATAAGGATGGCAGTGAAGCAATTGAGGCTGTAGGAACTGCAGATGCTGGAGAATCTGAGATAACAATGTGTAGAGCTGGATGAACACAGCAGGCCAAGCAGCATCAGAGGAGCAGGAAAGCTGACATTTCAGGCCTAGACCCATCTTCAGAAATAGAATGTTAGGTTTGGTTGATTGTTCTCTCAGAGTGGAGGTGTAAATTGGAATTCCTGGCTAAACATCAGCCCCCGGTTTAAATCATTCTGCCTGTGTGCGTATTTGTTGCAGCCTGAGCTCAGGCTTTTGTCTGGTATTTTAGATGTTAGAAAATTCCAGGCTTTTGTCCAGTACTTTAAGATATTGGGGATTTTTGCTCATTCTACAAGTACAAGTGAGTGAATGACATTTGTCGTGAGGTTGGACAAGGGCAGTAGAGTTGCGGATGATCTTGAATTTACAAAGGATAGAATTCGGGAGGCTGACCAGAGGTGCAGTAAAATAGTTAAATCAAGAAACAATGTGTTAATTCAATGGTAAACGATTCCTTATTAACCTGTTCAATTTAATTTTAATGGCCCTAAAGGGTTAGATTTAGCACTGTGTTGCACGTTAGCAGCAGTGCAATAATTATGCAATTTATGGCATTAAAGCTGTAATTACTACAAATCAGCAAATCATCCCAGTACAAGCTCCAGCCATACCTCAATGAGCAGAGACTTCAGTACCAAATCTAGGCTAACACCCTAATACCTGTCAGGAATGATGTCTTTCTGATGAGATGTTAAACTGAGGCGCCGTCCAACTCTCCCCAAGTGAGGCTGAAAGATCTCATGAGACTATTTTGAAGAACAGTCAGTCAGTTCTTTCTGGTATCCTGGTCAATATTTATCCATCAACTATATTATTAAAAAAACATATTGTTTGGACATTATTTCATTCCTGTTTGTGGGAGCTTGCTGCATGTAAATTGAGTACTATGTTTTCTACATCATAACAGTGGTTACACTTCAAAAGTACTTCAGTGCCTGTGAAACAGGTTGGATAGGTCGCAAAACATCCTTCAGAAATGCAAATGTACCTTTTGCTTCTTCTGAACTAGTCAGGGGAAAATAAAACTACGAATTTGGAAGGAAAAGTTAAATCAAGATCTCAAGACAAATTTTTGATCTAACAGGTATTCTTCTGAAACTTCAGTAGTCACATGATACCGAGTTATAATCCAACAGGTTTATTTGAAATCACAAGCTTTTGGAGTGTAGTCCCTTTATTGGATGACTTCTGACTTTGTCCACCCCAGTCCAACACTGGCACCTCCACATCAAGGCTCCCCTCGCCATCTGAAATGTCAACACACCTTTCCCATTCCGATTTTGACAAATGAATTGGGTATTTCTATCAGTTTCGGCTTTTTGTTTTCTAATTTCTTTCCTTTCCTATTTATCTCACTTACCTGAAAGCTCAGGCTCTGACATTTCTGGTGTCATCCCAGAAGGTTCTGCAACTCGGTATCTTTTACAGAAGCAGCAATCATTAATTAAGTGCTTCTTGAAAATCCAGGCTGTTAATTATTGTTACACAGTAGTTAGAATAATGTAGCATGGATGCGTCCTGCTCATTTGATACATTCCTTATACAATTCAATAATTTTTAAAAGAATTATTACAGAATAGGTTTCATTTTTTACATTATTGTGGTGGACTGCTGTGAACTTGTGGTGAACTTTCTAATGAAGGACCTATTTGAGAATTTCACATCATAGTCACTGATCTTCATTATCTGACTTAATGGTGCATCAAATATTGCTTTTTTGGATAAATAGACTTCCGACTCTCTTCACTTTTTGTAATTATTAGTTAAACATTTGTGATTTAAAGAAAACTGTAATTGGACTTTTAGGGCATTGGTCAAGAATACAGAATTCAATTCATTGTGTCACTCAAACCAATGTAAATTAAATGAAAACAGGATAAAAAGAAATCATTGGCCACACTCACTAGCTCAGTCAAAATCTGAAAGAGCCTGATGTCTTGGGTGGTGGTTTTCAACAGTTATATAAAAGCTTTAATCAATCCCTATCTGGAGTAATTGAGTTCAGTTCTGGGCATCAGACCTCAAGAAAAATATATTGTCCTTGGACAGGGTGAAGCATAGATGGACCAGAATGATTGTGGGCCAAAAAGTGTTCAATTATGAGAAGTTGGATAGACCATGCTTCTACCTCTTTCAGAATGGACAACTATGGGTGATCTAAATGTGGAATTTAAAATAATCAAAACATCTGATAGGGGTGACAGAGAGAATTGGTTCCGTTGGAGTGGGCAGTGGGGTGAGTGCTCAGAGAAAGGGCCATAATCTTAAAGGTAGAGCTGTGGCATTTGGGGGTCATATCAAGAAGTACTTTACACAAAAGGTATTGGAAATCTGTGACACTGTCCACCAAGAAGCTGCAGAGAGCGAGGGTAAATTGACATGGTCAAAACTGAAATCAGTTTTTTAAAAAAATATCAATAGAAATGCTAAAAATACTCAGCAGGTCTAGAGACAGAAACTGATTCTGACCTTTCATCAGAACCATTGATTTTTGTTGGAAAGGCTAAAAGGGTTTCAGAGCTGAGGCAGATGAATGCAGTTAAAATACAGATCTAACTGCATGGTGGTACAGCCTCGAGGAACAGGTTGAATGGCCTCTTCCTGTTCAATAATCTGCAGGATATGTTGTAACACTGTTAATGCCTGAATGAGTCCTGTTGGGTTAATCATTGGTCTCATATTTGCAATAATTGCATGAGGAAGATTGCGTCAATTTTAAATGTTTCTCTCCTCTGTTTCAGAGGAGGTGATGAATATTTTTAAGCAAAGGAAGAAATGTCAGAGAAAACATATTAGTCATTTATGTTGAAGTTGTACAGGACGTTGGTGAGGCCTCTTCTGGCGTACTGTGTCCATGTCTGGTCTCCCTATTAGAGGAAGGATATTATTATTAAGCTGGAGAGGGTTCAGAAGAGATTTACCAGGATGTTGCCAGAAATGGAGAGTTTGAGTTATAAGGAGAGGCTGGATAGGCTGGAACTTTTCTCACTGGAATGTAGGAGATCAAGGGGCAACCTTGTAGAGGTTTATAAAATCACGAAGGAAGTAGATAAGGTAAATGGCAGGTGTCTTTATCCTAGGGCATGGGATTTCAAGGTTAGAGGTCATGGTTTTAAGGTGAGAGGAGAATGTTTAAAAAAAAAGACGTGGGGACATTTTTTTTTTACACAGAGAGTGGTTTGTGTGTGGAATGATCTTCCAGAGGAAGTGATGGATGTGGGTACAGTTACAATGTTTAAAAGACATTTGGATAAATATATGAATATGAAATGTTTGGAGGGATATGGGCCAAATGCAGGCAGGTGGGGGTAGTTTAGTTTGGGATTATGGTCGATATGGAATGGTTGAATCAAAGAGTCTGTTACAGTGCTGTATGACTCTATTTGTGCTCTAGTATCCCACAATGTGGATGAAACGTTGTTGTGACATTGGAGCTGCCATCAGCTGCTGGCCCGAAAGCCTGTAAGAGACTTGCACTGACCGTTTTCAGGAGGTCCAGTCGAAACACATGCCAGGAGGTTACAGTTGGGGCTGTAAAGACTTCCACCTCCATCCCCTCCCCATTCCCTCACCCAAATTCTGCAGAATTGTGGAGGACCCAGGCAAGGATTTAATCTAGAGACTGTCCCCATCGCCCTCTCAGGTAATGTGACCTGCACAGTATGTCTGTCATTCATGCCACATGGTGACAGACTCACCTGCAGTTAGGCCAACCCCAGCAGTAGTAGTTTGAGGATTTTAAGGGCTCTTTAATTAATCACTTAAGGCTTTTAATTGGTTGTAGGATGGGAAGGTCAACCACAGGTCTTCCTGCCAGAGCTTAATTCTCGCTAAGGTGACAGCGTTTGAGTCTGACACTACCCTGTCTAATTAAATGTCTTTCCCACCACCAAGTTCACCATCAGCAAGAGTAGAAGTTCATGTGATGTGAATTTGTTGACTATTTCTGAACTATTAAAAACATGTTGGTGGATTTCTTGTTTGAAATGATTCGATATTTAGGGACCGCTTGTGACTTTATTTGTTCCTCTGTAACTAGGCCATGGGCAATGTGATTGCGGGAAATGCATCTGTGACCATGGCTGGTCTGGGATTGCTTGTCATTATCCCAAGACTTGCAACATTCCCCGGAAGAAAAGCAAAGAAATGTGTCGCAATTCAGATGGTCTGATCTGTTCTAATGCAGGTAAGGAAAGCTGTTTCCGTATTTTTATCAAACTTTAATATACTGCATACGGTGATGGCTCTGAAAGAACTCATGCTGAAACTGTGTTCAGTTCCACCCACTCTGAGGTTGTCATACTGCCTTTAGGTGGAAAATCAGGAAGGCCTACAAGAGGTTCTGATGGAGACAGATGTGTCATCAGATGTGTTATCTTCTGAGAACTTCTGCCTTGAAAATATTCAAAGGCTCTGCTTCCACTGCCCTTTGAGGAAGCATTCCAAAGATTCACAATGATCAGTCTGAAAAATATTCTCCAAACTTTTGTCCTAAATGGGAAACCCCTTATTTTTAAACAGTCATGCCAGCTCTAGCTCCTCCCACAAGAGGAAATATCCTTTCCACATCCACTCTGATTCGTTTAAAAACAAATTTAAGAAATTCTCTGTAAACCTACCATTAAGGACCTTTAACAAGACCTTTAATAAGAAACGTTCGAATTGTACTTTTCTCACTTGCCATTGAGTTTCTTTTAAGAATAATGAGCATACTCAGATCTGTGTGACGCACAAATGAATCATCACTTGGTTCTTTCTCTTGGCATTACTCCAGACGACAATTTTTCTAAATTTAGCCAAAGATGCTAAGAAGAGACAGAGAAAAAACAGAAAAACAGGGTTAATACCCAGGATTGTATACAGGAATTTTAAGTGCTAACTTTTTTTTTGAAGTACTTAAGGTTTACAATAATTATTTGGACCAGGAATAATTTATTTTACACATCCAGAGTCCAAATCAAATGATATGTGGTCTGAATGAAAGCAGATTTTTTATACGACATCACTCATCCCTGGGTCAGGCTAAAATATCTCACGTTTTCTGGAATTGCAAGCAGAAAATCCTGGAAATGCTTAGTTGTCAGGCAACCTCAGTGGACAGAGAAACATAATTACATGTTTCCGGTCAATGGCCAATTGCTTTTTATCAGAACAGAAAAGTTAGATGTAGTTTTGATGAAATGAATGAATGAAAGGATTGTTGAGGAGATGACAGTGATAAAGGAACAAAGAGACGTTTCTGTGTATTGGTAGAATACAGGAGAGACAAAATAACATTATGGAATGAGATTTTAGATTTTGCCTTGTGTTACCAGTAAGCAACAGTCATGGTTCAACTAACTTGATAGTATTAATTAACATCAACATTTGCTTAAACAGATGGCTCTCTGGTCATGATCATTAGTTCATGCCAGGTAATTCTCACTATTGTCTGATCTGTTAGAATAAATCATTACATACTGATAGAGTACAACAAGATTACAGAACTATTTCCAAATTTCCATGCTGGAAATATGAGTGGGAATGATACCTCAACTTCTACTTTTAAGAATTATTACATTTATTTCCATACTTCTGTAACTCTTGTTCCAATATTTGACTGCCTTTGTCCAGAACTCCAGAATATTGGTATTTTAAGTCCCATTTATCTGTCACCTTTGTGCTCACTCACTCACCTATTCTTGCCTGCAGTCAAACAATGCTACATTTTAAAATTCTCATCTTTGTTTTAAAATCCTTTCATGGCCTCACCTCTCCCTACCTCTGTGATTTCTTCCAGCCTCACAACACTGCAAGATTTCTACATCATCCAATTCTGGCCTCTTGAACATCCCTAATTTTAAATCACTCCGAAATTGATGGCCATTCCTTCAGCTGCCTGGGTTCTATACTCTGGAGTCTCTTTCTAAATGTCTCTGCCTTCCTACCTCACTTTCTTCCTTTGGATGTACCTGAAAACCTGAATACTACGGCTGATGTCTGAAATGCAACAGGAAGTATGTGAACGAAAGAAAACTGTGAGAGGATCAAGCAATGATGACAGGAAGTAAGGGTGACAAGAAATAAGGGTGAGAGGAAATAACTATTAGAGATACAAGTATGACAGAAAATAAAAAAATTTAGGGGGAGGCAATGGCCCAGTGACATTATTAGTTGATTATTAATCCAGAGTCCCTAGTAATGATGTGGGGATCCCGGTTCATAGAGCAGATGGTGGAATTTGGATTCAATTAAAAATCTGGAATTAAGAGTCTTGTGATAATCATGGAACCAATGCCGATTGTTGGAAAAACCAGTTTAGTTCGCTCATGTTATTTAGGGAAAGAGCCTGCCATCCTTACATGGTCTGGCCTACATGCAATTCCAGACCCACAGCAATGTGGTTGACTCTTAACTGTCTTCTGGGCAATTAGGGATGGGCAATAAATGCTGGCCTAGCCAGACACATCCACATCGAATGAATAAAAAAAGCAACACGCTACAAGTGTGACAGAAAGGAAAGGCCAGAGGAAATGACTGAGAGAACAAAAGTGAGTCTGGCATGAAGTAGGATTAGAAGAAGTGGCTCTCAAGTATTTAACATACTACAGGTGAGTGGAGCTAAACTATTAAAACATCCACACAAGCTCTGCTTGTTCTCTTGTAAAACAGGTAAAATTAAGGGAAGATTTGATATTATGAGTGTCTTTGTAATGTAAACAAGAAGAAACTCTTTTTATAGGCTGGAGGTATGGTAACCAAAGGCAGAGATTTCAATATAATCAGAAAAGAGTCAAAACAGGGTCTGCAGAGAATTTGTTTTACACAGTGGGTTTTCCAGATCTGGACTGCATTGTTTGAAAGTGTGGTGACATTCAACAGCAACTTTCAAAATGGAATTAAATATTAGCTTAATGGCAACATTTTCAGGGCTATGGGTAAAGAGCAGGAGAAGTAGGATAGCTCTTTCAAAGAGATGGATATGCTGTGAGATTTGATGACAAAATATAGCCCCAACTTCTCCAGACTCTGTCCATGACTGATGACCCTCATCCCTGGTATTTTTTTGGGAAGATCCTTTTCCGGCAGGATTTTAAAAGCTCAAAAAAACTTTTCACGAATATCTTTAACAATTGCGACCTTCATTAATACCTTGTCTTTTTCTGCAACTTCAGCATTCATGTTTTATCCCTGTGCTTTTCTTAGTTATACAACTTCTTCCAGAATTCCAGCAGATTTCAGTTGTAGTTAGCACAACGTTCAGTGAGATACATTGTAATTCTTGACCCATATGGGCCATAGTCCAATTCCATCAAAAATATGCATGCACCAATCTACGTTGAGGAATTACGGTGTGGTCTGTTGGATAGGGTGATATCGAGATGGACCATAGACATCAGCATAGACCATTGGACTGAACAGCCTCTTTCTGTGTTGTAGATACTATGTAATGCTCTGTCTTATTACTTAATCCCAGTTTACTCTCATTTTGTTCAAAAATCTTCAGCTAATTGTACATTCACAGCAAGATTAATCATCATTGTGACATTTCTATCTGTCCGGTGATTTGTTAAATGCAAAGGGAGATATTGAATGGATTATTATTGTGAGCACATTACAATTTTTTGGTATTTTGTGGCACCACAAATGAAATTGCAACCATAGGACGGGCATCTTTCAAAGCTTTGTGTTTCTACCGTTACAATTGATGAAATTTCTCCCATTTTTCATTTGAGGGCTAATGTCATGCTTGTATTGTCAGCTTATTTTAATGAATAGTAAGCTATTTCCTTTCCATGAAATGATCTCCAAACGCACTCAGCATTTGGCTATGGTTTTCTAATGGATGGCAGCCTATCTTAATTAGTATTTACTACACACTAATGAATAGCGCTGCAACATTTTATACCCTGTTCAGGAAATCAAAGAACAGAATCAGAAGACGCAGAAAGAGACCATTTGGCCCAGTGTGCTGGTTCTTTAAGAGAGCCATCCAGTTAGTCCCAATCCCCTTGTTTATTCCACTCAACCCTGCAGATTTTTTTCCCCACTTTAACAACAGAGATCCGCTCCCTCTTTGACATTTGTTTGCTCAGTTGGATAGGTGGCTATTGTGCAGTTTAGAATAACTCACAGGCCCTGAGAATAAAAGGCAATGACAAACTACCACTGGGAAGGGAAACAGTTCTGGATGACACATCAACAAACAACAAATCAAGGACCTGCCTTTGGGTAGAGCATACATGAATGAATTGAACTATTGTAAAAGAAGGAGGAGCTCTGAAGTTCAGAACTCAAGCAGGGAAAGGGAATTTGTCAAATAACTATCAAGTTCAGCCAGCAATAATTGTAGACTATCGCTTACTTCCTTTACTAATGGGGTTTATTACAATGTAGATGCAATTTCCTGAGAGAGTGTTCCAGTGTTTGCCCTCACATAAAAAAAATTCAGAATTAGCTACATTAATAAATTGTTTAAATGGTTTTACCTCTGGTTCCAGAATTTATCTCAAATGAAAGAATAATTTGTGTCACCAAGTCTATATGGGCACAGCCAATGTTGAAAAGACAGGGTGAGAAAACGTTAATGAATTTGACGCATAAGCTGACATGAATCTGAGATTTTTATTGTCTGTGGACAGCATGCAGAAGCAAGGTGGATAAAAGAAATTCCACAGTTTTAAGATTCCACATAGAATTACGTAGAACCAGCATTAGAGAAACAGAGCTTTCAGTTCAACTGGTACATGATTTACACAAGCCTCCTCCCACTCCACTCATCTTAAGCCATCAATATATCCTTATATTCCTTTCTCCCCCATGAGCTTATTAAGCTGTTCCTTAAACGTATCTGTGCTATTCATCTCAATCACTCCCTGTGGAAGTGAGGACAACATTCTTACAATAAGACTATGAGAAGTAGAAATCCTTCACATCTGCTGTGCTATTCAATGAGATCATGGCTGATCAGATAATCTTCAAATCCACTTTCTTGCCTTTTCCCCATAACCCTTGATTCCTTTCTATCTAGCTCAGCCCTGAATATTCTCATCAACCCGCCCACTGTGGTAAAGAATGCCACAGGTTCACTAGTCTCTGAGAGAAGAAATTCCTCCTTATCTCTCTCCTAACTGGGTGAACACTCAACCCTTGCCTGCGGGTCCTAGACTGTACCACAAGGGAAACAACCTTTCAGCATTCTAAGAA